CGAGGTAAGCGAAAACCGTTGAGTTGTCTTGCAGCTTTACTGCATTCCAGCAAGTTTGTTTTTTGCGGTTTCGTGAAATTCAGTTGGTCCTCGTATTTCGTGTTGCCCGATGCCCAGTAGACATCAGCTTTAAGATATAACTTAATACAAATCAGCACTTGAAGATGAGGTTGTGTAAGCACAGTTCAACAAAAGTGATGCCAATAAAGTGCCAGTTTTAAAGAGTAAGATTTACATTTATGTCCTCCGTCACAGGCCTAATGGTGCTATTCCGATTGGCTACCATGTACACTTTTATTTCAGGGCGTCAATAGCTCACTGAAAATTAAGTGCGAGGAAAGTTGTATCTTTCGCGCCGGGCTATATGTACTCATGCAAATACTAATGAAATTCAACTTTTCACCTCATCTAAATTGGAGAATTAACGCTTCCCAGTCGAAGTAGATGGACAAGTTTTGGTCACATGCTTAAGTTAGGCTGATTCAGCTATCCGCCATGATCGACATCGTATGCATTTTGCCAGTTGATTGGATTTCGTAGACACCTAACCGTTCGTTAATTGTAAACGTCGGCTAGGTTCTCATTGCCATTATGTGCAAGCCACAAAAACCTTGTTGAGCAGTCTACACTGCGAGTTGCAGGCTTCTTCATGAGTTAGGGAAGAGTTCAGGGGTTTGGTTAAAAGTAGCAGCCTTTCGCGTATATCTCCAGCCCCAAACTACTTGACAAATCACCGGGGTTGGCTACGAATACCTCGCTGTTTTTTTACTTTTGTAGTAGAAAGCTCATCTGTCAGTAAAGAGGACCTAAATACTTATAGTTTGTTACCAAGCCGTTTACCATGTACTGGTCTGGATACCCAAAAGACTCCTTTAGCAGGAGTGTGTGGCAAAGAAATAAATATAAAAACGCTAGATTTAGTATAAAATAATGGAGGTCTGATGAAACAGACTCACTGAAATTTATCCTCCTTAAGATAGTTCTTCCTTAGCCCAGGTTAGGGAATGAATAATAATCAAATCCTGGTTATCCAGATCTATTCAGAACAGTTCTCACTGAATAATATCCGCAGATAGTATGAAAGCATTCGATAACAAAGTTGGCGCATGCGGATGACCGCTGTATGCGCGGGCGAAGTCAGAAGGGATAGTTGAAGCACGTGACCTCATTCATATTGCGTGAAATTGTAAAAGTAAGCGTTTCTGTGTTTTTTTCGTATTCAAACAAAAAACGTTTAAACAATTGGCAAAATACGTACTTATAACGAAGGCAAAAGAAAGATAGCAAACACCACACAACTGATTTGCATTAAACCAGGATATCTGATGGCCTTTTGCATTGTAATTAAAAGCCAGCAGTGTGAAGTGGTTAAGCTAGCCCACAAGTTACTTTACCAGGAGTGTGTGGCAAAGAAATGAAGACAGTGACGCTAGGCTGGGTATACAAAAATAAAGAGGTCAAATGGAACAGACTCACTGACAATTGGTTTCGTTAAGCTCATTCGTCGTTAGCCCAGGTCAGCGAATAAACATTAATCCAATTATGTTGGTCCAGAGATCATCTTCTGAACAGTTCCGACATATACTAGATTCCGAAGATGGTCTGAAATGTTTTGATACCAGAGTTAGCACATGAGACTAGCGAATGATCACTGCAAGCGCGAGCGAAATCAGAAGACAGATTCGAAGCACATGACCACACTTGTATTCTGTGAAATTGTACAAGTGCGCGTTTTTGTAGTTTTTCGTATTCAAACAAAAAACGATTATGCTATCGACGAAACACGTAGTGTTATAATGGAAGCAGAATAAATGGTAAAAACCTCGCACTACTCCAACACTAGAGCGTTGACCGTGAAAGAGAAGAATGCTCGAATAATTAAAAGGAACGAATCAAAATTTTCCCGCTTCAACTTTCGTAGTCAGCTAAGTGCTGAGGGAAACGGGGGTGTTTTCCGGAACGACCAATGGAAGGAGTGAGGTTAGCGGCAGGGATATCTTTGGTGGGTGCCGGTGTTGTTGGGATAGCAGGATTGCTGGATGTGGTCGTGGGTGCTTCGATGTAGGCATGTTTCAGAAAATCCATGGAGGCGTGCTTTCCGCTTCTCTTTAAAACAAAGTACTTGGAGCGGCGTTCGATAACCTTGAAGGGGCAACCATAACAGGGTTGGAGAGGTTTCCTCGTTGCGGCATGTCTGACAAATACAAATGGTGTGGAAGAGAGATCGGTTGAGATGTGTTCTGTTCGCGTTGATCGTCTGGTTGGTGTCGCACGAAGTTCGGACATATGCTGTTCCGAACGGGTGACGAATGCGACGGGTGATTCGGGCTGTGCGCCAGAAGGGGAAACCAGTTCACCGGGTAAAAGTGAAGTTGTACCGTATACTATTACGGCTGGTGAACAGTGAAGGTCCTCCTTAATAATGGAGTGAATAGCAAGCAAAATGAGGAGTAAAGAAGAGGACCATGAAGATGGGTTCGTTTGGGCAGTCAATGCAGCTTTGAGGTATCGATGGAAACGCTCAACCAGACCGTCGGAACAGGGATGATACGCGATAGTTGATATGTGATGGAAACCGAATAGTGTAGAAAACTCACGGAAGAGATAACACTGAAATTGTGAACCGCGATCAGTATTAACGGTGGAGAGCTTGCCAAAATTACGCACCCAGTGCTGCAAAAATGAAAAGGCAACTGTTTCAGCTGAAGTATCCGAAATGGGTACAGCTGCTGGCCAACGGATAAAACGATCGATCATGGTAAGAATATGCGTGAAACCGTTTGATGGGGAAAGTGGGCCAACAATGTCGAGATGGACCTGTGTAAATCGAGCATCAGGAATGGCAAATGAACCGATAGGTGAGTTTGTATGACGAGTTACTTTACTGCGTTGACAGACGATGCACTGTTTGGCCCAGGATGTCAGGTCCTTATTCATGAAGGGTCATACAAAGCGTGCACTAATCAACTTCCTGGTTGCTCTGATTCCTGGATGAGAAAATCCATGAAAGTGGTCGAAAAGAACCCGTCGGAAGGCTTCGGGTACGATTGGGCGAGCTGAGCCGGTAGATATATCACAAAAAGTGGTTCCGGGTTGGAGGGGTAAAGGAATTGAGGAGACTAGAAATGAAGGAAAGGATAGAATGGGCAAAAAGTTAGGATCGCTCTTTTGAAGGTTAGACAGCTTGGTCAGGTCCAGCTCCGTGGAAGGGTGAAGAGCGTTGATGTCAGGAGGGGATAGGGCATCTGCGATGACATTGTCCGAACCTGGAGTGTACCGAATGTCGGTAGTGAACTGTGAAATGTAGTCGAGATGGCGTATCTCGCGTGGTGAATATCTATCGGGCTTGGCGTTGAAGGCATAGGTGAGTGGCTTATGGTCGGTTTAAATGGTAAATGATCTACCTTCTAACAAGCGCCGGAAATGGCGAATAGCAAGGTAAATTGCGAGTAATTCACGACCGAAAGTACTTTAACGCGTTTGGGCAGCCTGCATCTTCTGCGAGAAAAACGCTAGTGGTTGTGTTGTTGACCACTTGATGAAGCACGGCACCGACGGCAGCGTTCGAAACATCAGTCGTCAAAATAAGATTTGTGCTTTCGTGAGTATCAAGGAAAGGTAAATTTGTGGCCTGAGCAATGGCTCGCTTGGCTCTAGGCTAGTGACGCCGAATAGGCATTCGCCAATGTTTAAACGTATGTTGTAAGTGAAAAGACGCTCAAACACTGCCCTGAGATTAGATGCATGCTCAGTTGAGGAGGTGCTAGCGATTAAAACTTCGTCAAGATAGGCATGCGCAAACGGTAAACCACGTAAAACTTCATCCATTAAACGTTAAAAAGTTTCAGCTGGCTTTCGAAAAACAAAGGGCATACGCGTGAATTCGAAAAGACCAAACGGTGTTGTGATGGCTGTATTAGGAATGTCGTCCGGGGCTACGGGTACGTTGTAGTACGCTCGTATGAGATCGCGTTAGGAGATGTTTGTGTGGCACAGTGTACTTGCGAAATCGTGGATATGCGTGATGGGATACCTGTCTGGGATAGTAGCGTTAGTGAGAGAACGATAATCTCCACAGGGTCTCCAATCACCTTTGGATTTCTTGAGTACCATATGTAGGGGTAATGACCAATGACCCGATGAAGAGCGGATGATGCCGAGTTCGAGCATGTGTTCGAACTCGTGTTTTGCGGTTTGTAGCTTATCCGGATGAAGTCGGCGGGGATTGGCATGGAGAGGTGGACACCTAGTCTGGATGTGGTGAGCGACGGAATGAGCGACCGGTTGAGTGTACTGACATGGATGAGTAAAGTTTGGAAAATCCTAAACTATGTCAGTAAAATGAGAATCAGGCAAGACAACTCGAATACCCGTGGATGAAGTTGGGGCACTAATTCCGTTGAGTGGGAGGGAAGTTAGCATGTCCAAGAGACGTTTGTGTCGAACATCGACAGACAAGTTGTAGTGGGTCAGGAAACCTGCACCAATGCTGGGTGCTTGGACGTCGGCCAAAAGGAAGATCCACTTGAACGCACGTCGCAATCCGAGGTCAAGAGTGAGGGAACGTTCGCCGTATGTAGCGATGCGGGTACCGTTAGCTGCTTGTAAGGGGAAAGAAGCAGAATCGGGAAGTGGATACGTATGTGGTAGCACGCTAGCTTCAGCTCCCGGATCTACGAGGATGAATGATCGGTGATGTGGAATAGGCGACTAGTGTGAGGGGGGCCATAGACAGTCGTCGCCATCACTGACTCGCCGGGGTGTTTAACGGGGTATTGGAACGCGGCTTGAAGAAACAAGGCGGTTTGCATTTGCGTGTCTGAGGGCCGAAAGTTTGGTGATACCACCACCAAGAAGGACTAAAACGAGACAACGATCGGGATCCTGAACTTATGCGATGCTCGTTGATCTCTAGCCGTTGTAAGCGATAGGTCAAAGTATCAAACTCGGCTTGTAGTTGCGATATGGAAGCAAGAATCGGATCGGAATCCGTAGAAATGTTGGGTGTATGGCGAGAGGCGGAGTTTACAGGGTTACTGGGGTAGGTTCTGTTTATTTTATTAGCCATCTGGGCTAACTGCTTCAAGCTGTGGTCAGCAACGAAAGCACTGATTATGTGAGACATGGAGGGTGGAAGTTTGTCGAACCATAGTTGGGCCAGGATTTCCACCGCTAGCTTACGGCCGCAGAGGAGAGTGCTCATGTGGCGAAGCGGTTGTGATCGCGGTTTTCATCAAGTTCGACAGTGGTGAATAAATTCCGTTTTCTAACTTCCCTGTCCTACTGATGGCGGCCGCACGAAGGGCGTCATAAGGGTTTTCCTTGGGAATATCTTCCAACAGATCTTCCAATTATGTTACTAAACCGCTGGGAAGGTGCTGGACAACATGGGAAAATCGAGTGGCTTGGGAATTGATGCGTCAGGAGTAAAACCGGCCTCCACCTGGTGAAACCAAACTATGGGGTTGCGTGGATTGTAGTCTGGTAAACGTATGCTAATCGCATTCTCGACTAAATCCGCTGAATCAAAGTGTCCCTCCATAATTACTGGGCAAAAGAAACAAAAGTACGACGACTTGAAATGAAAAGCTTTTCAAGAGGTATTTAGAAATACTTGGGCTCACCAAATTTGTAGTGGCCTGGCTAGCCCACAAGTTACTTTACCAGGAGTGTGTGGCAAAGAAATGAAGACAGTGACGCTAGGCTGGGTATACAAAAATAAAGAGGTCAAATGGAACAGACTCACTGACAATTGGTTTCGTTAAGCTCATTCGTCGTTAGCCCAGGTCAGCGAATAAACATTAATCCAATTATGTTGGTCCAGAGATCATCTTCTGAACAGTTCCGACATATACTAGATTCCGAAGATGGTCTGAAATGTTTTGATACCAGAGTTAGCACATGAGACTAGCGAATGATCACTGCAAGCGCGAGCGAAATCAGAAGACAGATTCGAAGCACATGACCACACTTGTATTCTGTGAAATTGTACAAGTGCGCGTTTTTGTAGTTTTTCGTATTCAAACAAAAAACGATTATGCTATCGACGAGACACGTAGTGTTATAATGGAAGCATAATAAAAATCCAAAACGCCGCAATTTTATCAATATTAGGTAGAATTTCCGAAAGTCTGATAGAACAAAGACAGACGGTTAAACGAATTTAGATTATCAGTCTAAAATTTCGACCCTTATCTAGGCATCCGAGGTTCTCACCAGCGCTGGGAACGTATTCCACGGGACTTGTTCAACCAGATGTATGATTGATTCAGTGGACGATGAAATTTAGTGACCAGCATATATGATGATGCTTTTTTGTTCGTGCATATATGCAACAAAATGCAACACTTCGGCGCAAAAAGTTTTATCTCTCACCCAAAATTTTTGCAGCTAAGAGCACTGTGCTTCTAATGGGCGTTATGCGCTCTTCTTGGCAGTTTGTTCATTCAAGTAAGCCGCTGTTAGCAAGCGGTCGACGAAATAGACCTTCGGAATGAAAACAACATCTCCAGAGATCGCACGATCGAACATATCATCGGTCCAGCCAAACGATTTTCCATTTGGTCTTGGTTACTGGTTCAACTTTACATTCCCATGATTGATTGATTATCATGAATTGATTATCATGAACTTTTGGCCTTGGCGCATAGTTCAGATGTTCGGATAGTGTGGAGTGGCGGGTGTCGTTTTGGTTGATTTGCATGTAAGTACTTATGACACGCAAGCTGTCTTACTGGGCTTCGCCTCACAATCTCTCTTTTTGTTTCCTGTCCACAGGAACTCACCTGAACCCATAATTTCTATGATTAACTGCCCCCTGATTCTTCCATATCGGACATACTACAATAGGTTGACTTACCGTGGCATTACTGTAGCTCGCGGCCCTGGTACAGTTCGCCAAAACGTTCTACTTACTAGCAGTGAGTGCTTGTTTGAATACGCCAAAAGCAAAGCGTGCTTTAGTGTTAGGGTGCATCGATGCGACCTTAGATCTAAGGGGTGGATCTAGAACATGCGCCTCTGGGCTTTTTGAACTATAATCCTGCCTGAGGATAAGCATCGATTTTTGATGGCTGAATGTGCGGCAGAAATCATCAAATTGTTAGATAGCGGGTAGAAATCAATTTGCGAGCTCGGCCGGTCCAGAAACAAGTTAGTGCTCACCGACTCTGTTGATGTATAGATGTCTCCAGGCTTGGCTTGGCACAAGTGTTGGAATGAACAAGCATACACTTATGGCCATTTTAGGCGTCCAGTTCTTCAGACGTTGAAGAATTTCACTTGTTCGGTCCAGGTGTATATTAGCTGGGTCTGACAGTAGCTGTCGAAATTGACCCAGAAACAAGCTCACTAGAATCAGTGCTCAGCTTCAGCACGTGTAGTTCTGATTGAAAATTACCTGACGAGCCTACCTTATTGGTTACCTGGGCCAGGCACCTCACTCGATTGCGTTCACGTTTTAAAGTGGTAGAGTTGATGAAGTTACTTCGTTGATGACTCCTCTCAGCTTGTGATACACGCCACTCCAGTTAAGGTGCAGTCCGGCGGGTTAACAATACGCGTAGAAATATTTTACAGCTCATATGTGAGTGCGTCCAGTGCGCTGAACTAAGAGTATTTACTACTTGCTTGGCACTCATACAGTCGGGTTGTACAATGAAAACGTCATCAATGTATCTGCAGTAAGCGTAACATTGTGTTGCAGTCTCGTGCATCACAATCCAGTCGCTCTTGTAAGAACCCTTACAAGAGCCCGACTATGAGTCTCCCCTCCCACCACCACGACCGTTAGCATTGGTGTTTACGGTGACTAGTAAAGGTACGTTGGGGTCGTAGATCAACTGATGATATTATCATCACTATTGCATTATTATTAACAATACTCCCATCAGGACCTAAATATGACACTTTGCTGTAGTGGTCGAGTATGAGTGCTTCAAAGTTTCCACGGGGTGATCTCGCTCAGCATCGCCTAACCATGCCAGAAGAAAGTCTAGTAAAATCAGCCGGAGAAAGAGCACTGAGCTCCCGTGTTACGAATAATCGGATTATGGGAAGCTTTGGGTATTAAATCTTAGTGTTCGCCGTAGATACATCCAAGTTTATTTTCGGAGCGACCAGCCTCCATAACTATGGAAACAGCAACACCGTCTTCTTCTGATGGAGGACGGGATAGAAAAAGTCAGCTTTGGAAAACACACCACCTGATCGCTTAATGGTTGGAGGTAACTGTCCGAGAATCTCTCAGTACGGCTGAACTATAAAAGAATGACAGGAAGTCCGATGTTCTCGTAGCATATGTACTATGCACAGTAACACAACGAGTGAGACATTATGTTCTTTGGCTAGGCAGGCTTCCTACAACCGAGCAGGTTGAACACTTGAGTCATCGGCTGTCTACAGAGTCCCGCATGATAACCTTTGCCTCGCGGTCCGAACCGTTGAATTAAGGACTTTTTGAAAGGCTACCGAACAAAACCCTGCAGTATATCGCCCTGTGGGTTAGACTTTTGAGTTAAAATCTTAACACAGTATATTCTTTAGTTGATCAACCGACGAGTGTAGTTCGCTTATACAGTTCTTCATCCACGGGCTCTTCAGCAATCTCCATTCAACTAGGTTCCTCTGGTTTACGTGAGTGTCTAACGCCTAACCGTGGCTTTGTATCCCTACATCTGTTTAGTAAAATAAACTAATTAATCCTTGTTAACTTTAGCGAATCTGCTTTACACTTTAGCTTTGTCAGATCAGTAGGCAGACATTTTGAACTTTATTGTCTTCGGATCGCACACAATCATTCATTTTAGTCACACACTGCAGACTATGTGAGGTGAGCCTAAATTTCTTATTTTGGTGCCAAGTGATCCTGGTTCGATTGCTTGGGGTGTCCGCGACGTAGAGATTGTACTTAGTCCCGGCGCTGAATGCACTCTGCCGCACTGGCTTCCAGTCAATAGCTGTCTTTGTGCTGTTCGGTTAAAATTTTCAGTGAGATCGATGTGTCTGGTCAGGGTCGATAATGTTTATTTTTTGTATCAACACACGCTATATCAGACGGAAACTCTGAACCTGGGAAACGTGCCTTGTTTTGGAATTTGTCTTGGTTGTTTTGGTCATCCAGAGGTGTAGTTACGGTGACGATTGTCCAGATCGGTTGAGTAGGTCCGAAAGGCAGGCCGCTATCTTGGCGACTGATTCTAGGTTGGCACTCACCACACAGATAATAGAGAGCGGCTTTTTAGTTGCGCTGGTGTGAGGGACTGTGCGAGCATTACACGGACAAGCTGCAGTACAGTTCGCTGGATCACAAAGGATCTGACGACCGTACCACAAACTGCTTAGTACGAAAAATTGGGATGGGCATTTCAATGGTGATTCTGGTCTTCAAAAGAGTCATAAGGATACCATGTGAAAATCGTCATACCATCACCTCGATTGGTATAACACCAGGTGCTTGCTGGCGTCATCTTATATAGGTTGATCGACTATCTGGAAGGATAGATTCGAGAGAAAAAAACTTGGTTTGGCCTTGATCGAGAATGTATTGATCATATCTTACCTTTGAGGCAGGTGTCGTAACCTTTCTTGACCTGAAAGTTGGTTTTGACTCTGAAAATGGTCAGAAACTTACTGTCTGCCGGTCAAAGGTGCCCTTCCTAGAATTTCCAGTATAAATGCACTGCACCTCATACCCTGTGGAATCGCGCGTCCATATAACAAGCTATCCTTCGAGTCCTGCAGATCCACGTGTGAAGGATGTGCTCTCTCTTTCCGCCGTTCTTTAACTTGGTTTTTCTGCCTGAAGCTTCTCTACATACCCCTGAAACTTTGTGGTTGAAAATTTTCCGGTCGTTCGTTTACCGGCATTGAGTGTGCTCTTCGGTTCATGTTCTTCAATGTCACCATCCATGTTAACCCCGAATAGGTTGATATGTTACCTCGTTTCCTTCGCGGAGCTGTTTTTGTCCAACCATGTGCTGCGTTGAAACGGTTGAGAGACGGACAGTCCGTGACATGGAAACGGAGTAGACTCGGGTGCAC